TAATAGCTTCTAAGCAGTTTTTTAAATTTATTATCACAAGGTGTTCAGATACAGAGCAGGACAAGGAATGGCTGTTTCAGAGGCTATAACTAGCCCAATATAAAGTAATTAGCCTCTGAACTTACAAAATTCTGCTCTCCACAGTGCTGAAGTTCCCATCTGTTCTTCAGTCTCTGCAGACATAGAAACTCCTCCCAGGAGTCTTTTCTTTACAAACAGACACAGCTTCTTTTTAGGAATTTTCATTCACGTTATTCGTTGACTACTACATGCATGTGTCCTGGTTTGCTTTTCTATAGTAGCATAGTTTTTGGCTAAAGCAGAGCCTGCTGCAATGATTAAGATTAGCACCATTAAAGAGAAGCCACCTATCAAACATTGGAAAAGGTACACTGAACAAAAACAAACAAACAAAAACAAAATGCCTTTGGGGCAAGACCCCACCCAGTTAAAAATTACAGGTTATAAAAGCAATGAGTCTAAGAGGTTTTCTGCTCCCAAACAGCATACAACAGATGTGATCCAAGGGGGTAAAGTGTTATCCCAAGTTGGCAATCAAAGTTGGCCGTGCCATCCTCATGGTACTGAAGGGACCAGACCCTCACCCAGGCCCATGCTTTGGCAGCCATAACAGGCTGCAAAAAAGATCCAGCAAGAAGTAGTCCTCTGACTAAGTAGCACGCGCTGAGCTCCTGATCTTGCCCTCCTTGTGTCAAGGAACCAATCAGAAGTTAGCTGGCTGACTCTGGGTGTGCTTTATGGTAACAGTGGAGTACAGAGCATAGCAACCGCCATGGGAAAACCTCTAAGCATAGCAACCATTCTTGCAGGTGCAGTTGACCAGTCAGCTGAGGACAGGTCACCCAAGTCCCAGACACTCCCCTTGCTCTACCCCAATAAATTCCCTGCCCCACGGTTCCTCCCGGTCTTTCTCCCTCTTCCCGCTGAGTCAGACAGATAGAAGACCCGAGGTAATACGGTTAACTCGTTAATTAAAGACTATTTGCTTTTACATAGGATTGGGTCTCTTGGTGATTTGGGGTTTCAGAATTTTGGCACAACAGTACTGGTTTGGAAGCATGGAAGTTGCAAGCGGGATGGGTGGATTCTTCCACCATGGTTTCAGAAAGCCAGTGAAGCCAGGCAATATGCTCCTACAAGAAGGCCGTGAGAGCCCACTGTGTGAAGCCCTGAAGGTGAAGCCTGGGTTGCAGTGGGGACCCCAAGATGCTGGGAATACCAGAACTGTGAAACATCTGCCAAGGAGAGATGTATACAGGGAGATGAACCAGTTCAAAAGAGAGACATATGCTACAGATGGTAGAAAAATTTTTATTTGCTTTTTTCTTTTGAAGTTAGTTTTGGGTTTGCTCTTGTTTCTTTTGTTGTTTTGTTTTGTGTGCTTGCTTTCCTATCAGGGTTTGTCAGCCCATCAAGGACTCACATTTCCTGAACTTGAATCTTCCCCTTTGCACACTCAGTCAATAATGTCAGCTTGTGAAGTCTGGCACTCATCGGTGGGATAAAATGTATTCACTACCCATGACAAGGGTAAAAGATAGATATCATCTTGACCAAATGTGTTCTTGCCAGCCCAGTTTGGGCCTTCATGTACCCTTTTTACAAAAAGAATTACTTACTTGGGCTACTTCTGTTTTGTTTATATGTTCCTGTGACACTGAGTCTATTTCTTGTTTCTAACACAGACAACAAAGCTGGAGGGGCAGTCATCTGGGTCCTTTCAAAGTGGAGCCAGAGAGCTACAGGAGCTACAGGTTTTGTTATCTATCCTGCTGGGTAGTCTTGATTTCGTCCAGCCTTTCCTCGCTATATCTCTAGTCCTTCCTTTTGAAATGGGAGCATCTATATTAATAAGAACGGTGATGAAAGTGTCTTAGTTATGGTTTCTATTGCTGTGATGAAACATCAACAAGAAGGTGAGGAGAAAAGGGTTTATTTGGCTTATGCTTCCATATCACAGCGGACAGGCACTCAAGTGGGACAGGAACCAGGAGGCAAGAGCTGGGGCCATGGAGGGTGCTGCTTACTGACCTGTTCTTTATGGCTTGCTCAACCTGCTTTCTTACACAACTCAGGACTACCAGCCCAGGGATGGCACCACCCACAATGGGTTGGGCCCTCCCACATTAAGAGAATGCCACACAGGCTTGTCTACAGCCTGATCTTTTGGAAACATTTTCTCAATTAAGGTTCCCTCCTTTCATATAACTCTAGTTTGTGTGTGAAGTTGACATAAGACTAGTCAGCACAGAAGCTATCTATATTTATTCAGTTAAGGAATAATTTAGCACTTTGAGTTTTCTGTCCCCAAAGAACATAAACAGAAACATGAATTTTTAAGGCAACTGTTGAATAGCATTCTTACTATCTGTTACAATTTTTTCTCAAGAGATTTTACTCCCATTATACAAGTCCATTTTAGGTAAATAAGTTCTGCTCAGTGAACATATACAGTAGTTCTACCTTGGTTGGTGACTCTATTTTCCATGGTTTCATTTACTTATGGCAAATCATGGTTTGAATCTACAAACGCTAACTTTAGAAATAAGCATGTCACAATTAAAATTGCAAGTGATGCTGGGAAATGTGACAAAGTTTATATAATCCAGACCTACATATGTATTCTATCTGACGCATGGATGATCCTTTTGTCTAATGTATCCGTGGCATATATGCTATTTGCTCACTGCTCACTTTGAGCTATCTCAGTCATTAGAGCTTCCATGGTATCACAGCGCTTATGTTCAACTTGACAGTCACCAAAAAGCATAAGAGTGATGACACTAGCAGTCTGGATATGCCAAACAAAAACTGTGGCATACTTTCTCTAGGTGAAAAGATGGAAGTTCTCAGTAAGGCAAGAATGAAGTCTGTATATGCTGAGGTTGCTACCATCTATGGTAACATAATGTAATATAAATAGAGCTTGTTTGGTACTGTTCACTGTTTCAGGCATCCACTGAAAGTTTTGGAATATACCTGCCTCAGATAGGAAGGGCGACCGTATTGAGCAATTACTCTATACCAAAAACTGTGCAACAATATGAAATAGTTCTGTAGTGAGAGAAACCTGTCATGTTTTTCTAAGGAACTTGGACCCGTGCAGCAGGTGATGAAGAGTCAGAGGCAATGGATAGCTTATTTAATTTTCTGCATTAGAAAAAATGTTATATTATCATATGATTTTAAAAACATAATACCTTGGGCATTTTTCTGGCATACAGATTATAATGGAGTCAGTCATGCCTTTAGGCTCATCGTAAAAGGCATTTTTGTTGATAAGGGAGGTAGCCTAGATTTCATTTCTAATTTCTGTCTTCTCAATTGCTTCTTGGCACAAGCTTGCAGGACAGTATTCTAACTCTGCTGCTAATGCCAGCGTCAACACTTTGAAGCATTTCTGCTGAGCAGCCGATTTTTCAGAACCCACTTCATAAACTGTAATTAGTTTTCTATAAAGGGCAAATTATTCCCTTTCTAAATTTCAGCATTTATTCTATGTTTGCTATACATTAGCATCTATACATTTCTGTCTGCAGTTAGCCCAAGGGAATCCACCTCTTTTTGTCCTATCAAGCCTTCTACTTAAAATAGAAGTTTTTATTATAAAAGAAGAAAAATGTCTGAAATTATCTCAGTGAGCATCAGGATGGAATACGAGATATCAAGACAGAAGACATAATACATGGAGGAGTTAAGTCCTAAGAATTACCTAAGCAAGCAATAATAAAATACAAGTGCGGGTCTGGATTTTTAATAACAGAATTATTATATAATTGATAGATAAGTCAAATGGCCATTAGTTATTCTTATATTAAGAGTTCAAGAAATCAAGCAAGGGTGTGGTGGTGCCACCTTTATTCCCAGCACTTGGGAGGCAGAGGCAGGTGGATCTCTGAGTCTGAGGTCAGCCTGGTCTAGAGAGAAAGTTCCAGGACAGCCAGGGGGGAGAGAGAGAGAGAGAGGGAAGGAGGGAGGGAGGGAGGGAGGGAGGGAGGGGGAGAGAGAGAGAGACAGAGAGAGAGAGAGAGAGAGAGAGAGAGAGAGAGAGAGAGAGAGAGAGAGAGAGAGAGAGAGAGATTCAGTGGTTAAGAATGAACTCAGAGATCTGCCTACCCTACATCTTCGTTATAGTGAAACAAGTGTCGGTTTAGTTTTCTTTCTTTTTTGGTTTTTTGAAATACGGTTTCTCTGTGGCTTTGGAGGCTGTCCTGGAACTCACTCTTGTAGACCAGGCTGGCCTCGAACTCACAGAGATCCTCCTGCCTCTGCCTACCGAGTGCTGGGATTAAAGGCATGCACCACCATCGCCCAGGTAGATTTAGTTTTCTGTTTCAACTAACACGAAACTAGTTGGTTTATATTTCTATTGGGTTTACTTGAAATAATTTTTGGATTGAGTGTCCAGTTATCACACTGAGAAACTGCTGCGTTAGCAACTTGACAATCAACTATTTTACAGTTAAAGTCATCAACGTCGTTTCCTGATAGGAAAATGAGGCATAATGTAGCCTTTTCACTTTTCTTACGTTCTTCGCCTCAAGCAACCTTGTAGAGATGAAAATGTTCCATCCAGTTATGACCATCCTGGGTGAATTTTCCAGCATTTAGAGCCCCGTTCCATCGCTGACTCTCAACCTTGTCCCAAGACAACGCCAAGTCGCCGTCGCCATGTCAACATTTTAAATTTTAATAGAGGGACTCAATTCCTAACACTTAGAAAAAAGGCTCTGCCAGCATTCACAGGGGGCACCTAAGAGCCAAGGTAGACTACCAAGCCACAGCAACCCACGCAAATCATCACCAAACAGAGGGTCCGCCTCGCCCTAGCCCGCACCACCCATAACCTCGAGTACAGACACCTTGCTCTTGATTGGTCTTGGCGCGTGCCTGTCACCCAGAGAGGGTGGGGCCTACCCGCGGAGCCAAGTGAGACGCAGCAGTTTTACATCACCTCGGCGCGACGCAACCCGCGAGGGAGGGGCGGGGGTGAGCCCTCTTGGCCGCGCTCGGGGCCCGCCGCGAAGGTGTCATGGCAGCTGCGGAGCATAGTTCCTCAAGCAGCGGCGAGAGGAACCTGGAGCGCAGCTCCAGCCCCCTGCTCACCCGCGAGGTGCTCTGCGAACTCTTTCGTTCCCTGCACACCCTGACTGGCCAGGTAAGTGGAGGTGCGGCGCGGGCGAAGGGTGGGGAGCACCCGGGTCCTCCCGCGGGGTGCCGAGGCCGCGGTGGCCGAGACCCGGAGGAGCCGGGCCCAGCTGCCTGGGGCCGGGAGAGGCCCGCTGCACACTCGGTGACCACGCGTGAGTGCCCAGGTCTAGACCACACCGGGGCCCTGGCGCCCCCAACTCTTGCGGGAAATCAGTGTGTGAGAGAGGATGAGGGTTTAGGAGGCTCCTGGCGCTGACGGTCGTTTTTGTCTCCCCTGTATTAATTCGATGATTAGTATGGCCTGAAACTTTTCCTAGCTCCGTCTCCACTCTTTAGGGGGTGATGTACTCTGGGTTTTATTTGTAACCCATCATTTATTGCATCCGTTGCTCTTGGAAGCCGGGGACTGTAAGAATTGTAACGTGCCTAAATTTTAGTGTAAATTATTGGATGGTTTATGTATGACCAATTCTACCGTCATTACTACTGTCGGGTAACTACTTAATTAATCGCTCTTACAGAAATGTCACCGTAAAACTGGATTTTAGAAAGTAGGCTCCTTCTCTTTACTAGATGAAGTCATTCATGATATAATGAAGCTAATTTTTAACAAGGAACAAAAGTATGTTTGCTTGCTTTTAGAGATAGTTTATGTCAAACTGTTTCCTAGTTTGTTTGGGGGCTGGTCTAATGCATGTGGTACCTGTGACAATAGGGCGTTTACCTGATTTGTGAGAATTATTTTTAAAACCCTTAGATGGGTGAATAATTAATCTTGTAAAAAGTTATTTTAATAAAAATTGTAAAACCTTAGTACGTTTATTTTGACTGGAAAACTACTTTGATTTGTACATTCAGTTCGGTGTTATGAGGCAATTAGTAGTGGTCTTCTAAAAATTAAAACTTTAAAACTCAATTGCTTAATGAGAATTAATAATTTTTTTCAAAGTCTTAAAGACTTTCCTTATTAACATTCCAGTGGTAATATACCAGATCTTTACATAGTTAAAAAGTCAAAGAACTTTTTGGCATGGATTTGGAACCTAAAGACTTAATTATTAGTATTCTAATGTCAAGATGAGGAAAATATTCTCCTCTATTGTGTTTAGAAGTTACAAAAATAATTTACATTAATAAATGATTTAAACATCTAAAGTGTTTTGCATATTGATTTTTTTCAAAATCATATAAATTTATATCAAAGGTTCAAATGGAAAAAAACGATTAAACCTTAACTCATGCCACCTGCGAACAAATATTTTGAGAAAATGAAGTTTTTGTACCATAGTAAAGGGACCTTTATACAGGTGTCAAATATAAGATTTTTTTAAAAAATCAATTAAATGCTATTTTAGTATTATCATGTAATTTGAGATGTATGATTTAAGCCATACACACATATAAGTTGCCCCTGGGGAGTGTGTCCTTTTGCAACAAATTAAAAGGATTATTAAGATGTAAATTGTAATATGCCTAAGTTCATCTTAAATATCATTGAATTATTAGTGCTTTTCAATAGAGAGTATAAAACTGAATTGTAAAAAGTATTTTTCCCTTAAATGCAAAATACAATTAGATTAACGTTTTTTCTTTCCTCTCATTGGCCCATGTTTTCAAGCTAAAGAATTGTTAACTTGGGGTTTTTGTTTTTTCAAATATTAGTTTCTACTGAACATTAATAATTGATTAATCTATGTTAATAGTGTGTTAATAGAAAAATTTGAATGCTTGGTTACTGTTCCAAGAGCTATGGAGTAAAATGCATAGAGGAATTTGCTGAATGAATAATTGGATGTATTTGGAGGTCATTTTTAAATTAACTTATGACATTATTGTTTGATTTTCATAAAAGACCAACTATCTTGAGTTGCTTTTGAAGACTTAACTATTTTGCTGAATTGACAAGAGAATATTATCCAACCATTAAGATTTCTTTTCTCTAGAGAATGTGATGCTTTGCTCAGGTTTAAGGATTGCTTGTTTGTTCCCTCAAGCCATTTAAATTTGCCCTAATCAGTATATCTCTTGGAGGACTATAAACACGTGGTGATGGACTACCCTCATACACGTTAGTAAATGCAGTAATCTCATTAGTCTTAATGTCAAATCTTAACTTAGTTTTAAGCTTACCTTTGCCAGTCTGTGTAAGATTTCATATTTATTTATCTCTGTCAAATATGGACTTGAAATGGTTCTGGTTTCAGCAGTAAGTGTCTACATCCATTGAACAGTAGAGTGCTTACTATGGGAACCTAGGATTTCTTTGGTTCCATAGACAGTAATTCACATTTTTATTTTATTTTTTTACTCTTAACAACTCACTAGAGTGATATTTGAACTCATAAACTTGTATCTTTGTGGAAAATATGCTAGTGTTCAATAAATTATTCTTGCAAAATAAGATATAATTAACTTGCTTCCACTAAGCAGTATGTCCTTATACGATGTTCTAATACATGTCCTCAGAAAAGTTTATAGGGACTCCTTCATCCTCTGTCATTATAGATGGAGCTCCTCTTCTCCCTCTAAGGTTTTGACTTCTTGTGATATTAATTTTATATTTAGGTTCTTGGTAGTTTTCTGGATACAATTTTGTTCTATGAAACCACTAGGTGATGAGGAATTTTCATGTAATGAGACTCCTATTTTCCTAAAGAAATTCTTAGGAAACACGCTGGACATCCAGTTCTGACAATCTGTTACACTGCTGTGAAAACATACTTGTTTTTCAGCTCAGCAATTTCACCACTAATATTTTGATTATTATTTGAATTAGTTACTGCCATCTATCAATATGTGTGAATAATCTTGAGTTTTAAGTGTTTTTAAAATTGGTTGAATTTGAAAACAGTGAAAGTGAGAAGCCACTGAGGTGATGAGTATTTCAGGCATGGGTTTCTGTGGTGTGCAACAAAGAGAATGTACTTCCTGGGACTTCTGTAAAGCACTTGTGCTTCCTCTGTTGAATGCTTAGTTGGAATTAGTAAGATTGCAACTAGGGCAGACCTATTTTTGGACACCTTCCAAAGGTCTTTTAGATACCCACGAATCAAAAGAGGTTCCATCTTTTTATCTTCCATGGGTGGCTTCTCAAAGATGGCCCAATTATATAAACGTAGGAACAGAATTAGAATAATAAGATGTTTTATTCATTTTTTTTCCTAAGCTGAATCTTTGATTTTTAAAATAGCAACTAGGTAAAGCGTTTTATTATGTCATTGAAACTTAGTAACTTTGAGCAAAGTAGGCATGCATTACTCCATAGAAATCTTATTTTTGTGATAATCCCATATATACAGCCTAATCGTGTAATTTTTGTGATGTTGCTGGTCTGCCCCTTTGAAGCTTAACCTCAGAGATGATGTGGTGAAAATTACAATCGATTGGAACAGGCTTCAGAGCCTCTCAGCATCCCAGCCTGCATTGCTCCTTACGGCACTTGAACAACACGTTTTGTATTTACAGGTAAATTTCATATTAGAAATGTTTGCTGGGATATTGAAAATAGAAATTAATTATGGTCAAATTAGCTACAGTATCTGTCAGTTCTGCCTCAACACTCTATTAATAGTGTTATTAATGAAAAGGTTACTTAAATCTATATTGAGTCTAGGTCTATTCATTTCACTAGTGATCCAGATAGTTATGAAAATATAACCCAATAGACCAATGTGGGTATGAAATTGAATAAAGGCAATTCTATCCAATTCTGGGCTTTGCTGAAAATTCAATACAGTTCATCTATGGTGGGTTATAATTAAGCAATAAGACACGGCAGGTGTGAGTCATGCTATGATAATGATTCCATGCCTTGGGTGAGTTTGGAGGCTCATGGAGTGCTTTCAGTGGTTCAAGAAGTGGCATTATCCCAGCATGACACATCCTGGAGTGTCTATTGCAATTAAACAGTTTCAGCATAGTTTTTAAAAAGAAAGTAATTTCTGTGACATTAATGTTTCATCTTAGTGAGTAGCCAGTCACTATTTCCTCTTAATAATTTGAAATAATTTATCCTTGATATTGGAAGTCAATATTGAATTATTTATAATAGTATTGTTACATTTTTTAATATTTCAGTTTAAGAAATGACAGTGTTATGACCTTGCTGGTTGTTGTTGAACATCTCTGCAAGTGTAATTGATGTGAGTTGCAGGTTTTCTCTAATCAAAGTGAAATGTGAAGCATCGGGGATGAGCAGAACTGTTTTTTCCTGGCGGCTTTACTGTGTTTAAGATGTCATAAGGTTTCAGAAGAGTGTTTGCCATAGCAAGCAATGGAGACAAAATTGTAGGAAAAGATGATCTGGATAGTGTTTAGAAATAATGTGTTAATTTTCGGCCCTGCATTCATTGACTTTCTGAGAATATCTAACCATGTTTCATGATAAAAATAACAGTTAACAGTTTGTTTAAAGGGCAGGTGGTGAGCTATGAAACTCAGATGTGGACCATGTTGGGGTGGGGATGGCTAGGAAGAACAGAATAGGTGACTTTCCATTATGAAGAAGCATATTTCTTAAACCCACTCTTAGTTAGAATGACCTGCTGGCAGCTAGGGGTCTTTGCACATGTTTTGTTTGTTTTGTTTCATTGTTTTCTTTCTTCTCCCATTGTTCATTTTCTTTTGCAAAATTTCATTTCCTGACCCAATGAGATATCTTGCTATGTCAGAAACAGACTGAATGTTCACTTAGTGTAACACCTATATACTTCATATCCATGCTCTCTCATTCATTCTGGCCAACTGCACTTTCAAGTGGAGAATCTCCAGATATGGTGATAATGCAGGGTGTTGCTGAGTGAGAGAGAGCACCGCTCCTGCTAAGGAGGGAGAATACCAAGCCTGGTGTTCTGAGTGACGTGTTAATTAAGAGGCATCTAGGCCAGAGACTAAAGGCTTTGATTTGGCACAAAATAAAAGATGAGTGACAGAATGATTTCCTCAAAGAAAATTTTAAATTTCCTCAGGTTTTCTTTCTTTCTTTTCTGTTTTCTTTTCATAATAATTTATTGCAAACAATAAGAGTGACAGCAGTAGAAAACAGTGAACATGTGTGTGGTCAGACCTGTATATCCTTGTGTGCCAGCTTTTTATATTTAATAACCAATAATATTCACTTACTCAGCATTAGTTTATGTAGGTATATAACTAATTTAGATTAGTTTTAACCTGAACAGATTTCACTGTGTTCTTTTCAGCCTTTTTTAGCAAAACTCCAGTCTTTAATTAAAGAGAATCCAACCGCTGTTGAAGAGATAAGACAGACAGAAACAGAGACCAAGAGTGAACTAAATGCTAAGCATCCCATTGAGGACCTACGAGATGAAGGACAGCTCAAGGACTGTGACTTAGATGTGAAAAAGACACAAATCCATTTTGATCCAGAAGTAGTTCAAATAAAGGCTGGGAAAGCAGAAGTAAGTTTGGGGTGGCACAGGGGTAGGGGCTGGGGCACTGTTTTTTAAAAGTTCTGTTGTGTTTTGCTTGTTAAAATATTTATTGTTTGTAGATTGAGAGACGAATATCTGCGTTCATTGAAAGAAAACAAGCTGAAATCAATGAAAACAACGTCAGGGAATTTTGCAATGTTATTGATTGTAATCAAGGTAACTAGAAGTTTTTTTTCATAGGATTTTAAATATTTTGACAACTGTTGTAGTATTTTATTTTAAAGATAACATTAAGAACAAAATTCAGTTTTACAAGTTTTTAGTTGGTGATTAAGGCAGTAGAATTTTCTTGTTTAATAATGGGCTGTGTGTCAAGCTGATTTTCATTTTGGTTACACGAAAATCAAGTGAAGGCTGAACTACAGAGACGAGTGTTTGTCACAGGTGTGAGAAGATGTTTAGGAAGTGAAGGTAGAACATTGGATGACGCGATTGTTCAGACTCACTATTGGCAAACAACGAAACACTACGACTTTCAGGTCTGTAAATGTACCTGTATTCAGTGAACTTAGGAAAGCTGATAGCCTTCCTCAAGAGGGAGCACTTTTCTCTTTACTCCTGAGTTTCACCATGGATGTATCCAGCTTGCCATGAAGACTGTGGAGCCTAGGCTTTTGTCCTTTTTCATTGTGCATACCTTTGCTGTTTCTCATCAGTCTCCTTTCCCTCCTCAGTCGATGCGACAGTGTGTTTCAGGTCTAGTAGTGTACCTGCAGAACACCATATACTGTGTAGACTGCATAGATCTTATTCAGCTATCCGTATACTAACCAATGCAGATAGTTCTTAGGAAAAACAATTCGGAGAAAGGTTCGTAATTGGACTTAACCTATAACCTAGTTTTCTTACTGCCTTCAATATCCCTTGGCTGGTGATTCTAAGCATGGAATTGTCAGTTGAGCAGGGAAGTGACTCCTAATCACACTGATACAGGATACTCTTAACATAGTAATGTAAGCTCACTTTCAGGTCTAAATTTAACTTTTTCTGCTGTTGGCTTTTGTGATTCTAGATTTAGCCTTTTAGAACAGGTGTAACAGTGGCAACATCTCAGGTGCAACCGTCAGTGGTGTGCACCTCAAGAGAAGGCCTGTGAGGGAGCAAGTGCGTGTGTCAGTCATGTTACTCCTCTGCTCTTCCTGCTAACTCTATTATTATAAACCATCAGGGGACAGAAATTGACAAGAATTGAAATGCTCAGCAGGATCCCTCGGCCCATTCAATCCCTTGCTGGCTCAAAACAGTGCTAGCAAGAATTGCTGTGGAGAGTGACTAGCCTCCTGCATTCACTGTCCCCACACCAGGCTGCATTTCTCACTGATGGGTCTGTGCATTTGGAATATAGCCCTGGAATGGAACATAGCCTTTTTTTTTTTAATACCCTAAGACCAATAAAAGGATAGAAAGAATAGAGAAGTGTAGGCCTCTTGAATATATTTTGAGGTGTTTCCAAGGAAAAGAAAATGAGTCTGTTTAGTCTTTAAATATAAAAAATTAAGAGGATTTGTAATTTTATTTACAGTTTGACTTATCACAGATGTGTTAAACTTAAGCTTAAAAAATACATTACAATGTGTTACTGTATTTTTTAAAACTTTTCAGTTGGTTTAAGAAAAAAATTATTTTTTAAAAATCAGATTTCATGAAATAACAAAAGACTTTAACTCATTTGATCCTTATTTTTTTACCAAATAATTATGTTATTGTACTATATAATATATAATATATGTTCATATATTACAATTATGATAAATTTAATTGTATGACGGTGTTAACATATTCCTGTTTTCTTTCCTTATAACTTATTTGTTGATACACAATTTTAAAGAAATTGTAGTTTCACGTTGGTAAAAATATTGGGAAAATTTTCACAATGTATCTTTTCTAAGATTACAGTTTTTAAGAAGTAGGATTGAGAGGAGCAATGCCTTTGTGGTCGGCATTTGTAAAGTAAACATTGGGAATTTAGGAGCAGAGGGAAAGAGCTGTGCTTGAAGTTCAGTGTGCATTGCGCTTGAGACTTCGGAGTCTTTAAATCTAAAGTTCTGAGACCTAAGAAGAGTATAAGATATACAGTCAGGCCAGGCGGTGGTGGCGCACGCCTTTAATCCCAGCACTCGGGAGGCAGAGGCAGACGGATCTCTGTGAGTTCGAGGCCGGGCTGGACCGACAGCATCCGAAACAATACAGAGAAACCCTGTCTCGTAAAAACCAAAAAAAAAAAAAAACCAAAAGATATACAGTCAGTCCCTCCGTTAGATGTTCACTAATTTGGTAATAACAAAAATGCCAAAATTTTTAAAAGATAATTTGATAAATTGACTTCTGTTTATATAATGGAGTTAGAATATGGTACTCTAGAATATATGAATTATTTTCTCCAATAATTCTGAGTAATAACTATTTTTATTAAAAATTATCAGAAGTTATGTCACTTAGTTGTTTTTCTATGTGTAAATCTGAATGTTACATAAAAATATTACATGTGATTCAATTCAGAGGATAAAGACCACCCAAATTATTCTGTATGTGATAGTAATCTAATTCTTATTCCTTTAAAATTCTCGATGAGTAAAATATGAATTATTAGAAGTTTATCATAATCTCATAATTTGTAGTTAAGAATATATTTGAACTAAATTCATCCAAATTCTCCCTAGAAAATAGTTGTGCAAGAACTGATGCCGTCTTTACTCCTTATCCTGGATTTAAAAGTCACGTAAAGGGTAAGTAGCTGCCGTATGCTATATGTCATTGGCAGAAGTTCGTTGTAGCTTCATAGCAACGTGGAATAGCAATATTTTCCCATCTAAACTTTATTCTAAAACGAAGGCATTGCCTTTCTTCCTTTCTGAGCTTCTGGTTAGGTGACCATTATGGAAAAAATATACTATAAGGGAGAGAGAATTTCTGCTTTTGGAGCATAAATTCGCATAGGCCTAAAAGTTTCTTAACTTAGTTTCTAGAGTTGTGAATACATATGGACCACAGACTAGACCTGAAGGAATTCCGGGGTCAGGTCACAAACCTATCAGCATGCTTCGAGACTGTGGCAATCAGGCTGTGGAAGAGCGACTCCAGAACATTGAGGCTCACCTGCGATTGCAGACAGGTAAGTAGAGAGCTAGGTGATGTTCTGTAATGTGCTTTTGCAAGTCTTAAGGAAATTCGATTCATTTAGCATCTGCAGTTTCCCCAAACATTCACTGTAAAGCCCTCATTCTAGTTGTTACTGTTGAGGAACCTGTAAAGTTCTCAGTGTTCATGCTTTATCTGCTTATACTTTCTTACACTTTCTGAATTGGGAAATAAATTCTAAACAGATTTTGTTAGCCTCAGTTTATTGAAGTTCCAACAAAAAAAAAAGTGAATGTAATGTGTTGCTATGGCCAATTTCAGAACTTGTATGACCACCTCTAATTGTTGTTAGCCACTCTGCCAGCTACAAAGTGTAGGTAAATGTCCTGGTCCTCAGTGCACTCCACATGTAAATGAATAAGTGTCCTGGGGAAAATGAGCCCCTATTTACTGAACAATCTGTCTCTGAAAGTGTCGTGCCTATACCAACTTAGTACTTAACAGAACTCTGTGGAGGTGTGTGCCGTTACTGTTGGAAGAGTAATAAGACTGAAGTCCAAAGAGCTAAAGCAACCTCCTAGGATAGTATAGTAAGTGACAACTGGAAAGCAAACGGTCTTACCCATTTAGTTACTATGCTCTTGGTTCTCCTAAATGTCCCTGCATGTTTCTTCTTCTGTCTCCACAGCTACTGCTGTAGATGAAGCACTGTAATCTCTATCTTGGAGTGATAGGTCTGTTTTTCACTAAACTTCCTTCTCTAGGTCATTTTCACCCAGTGGCCAAATTGCAGTTTTTCAAGCTCATATCTGATCTTGTTTCTACCCAGCTAAAAATTCTTTAATAGTTCTCTGTATCTCTCAAACACGTAGCAAATGCAGTACCTAGCAGAGAGGCTGTGGTCTAGGGAGGTCTCAGGGATGATACTTGAAAAAGTAGAAAGATTCTGAATATAATACTGAACTTGATGTCTAAGTATCTTTAAACACCATGCCCTCCTCCAAAAGAACTGTAGTTAAGAATTATGAGAAAACCCCTTTAAACATTGTTCTAGGTCAAAGGAGGAAATATTCCATGCTAGGAGAAGTAGAAGTTGAAGAAAATTAGGCTAAGCACAGCCGTCAGGTGGAACTATCATCTTGCCACTGCAGTATTTTCCTTCTCAGTAACTACAACACTACTTCCTGTATGGAAACTATTCAGTATCTTATAAAATGAACTTGTAAACCAACTTGTAGCAATATGGGATGCATAAGCAATATTTAGAAGGCAGAAGTCTATAATTTGCCTCATAGAATTCAGAGTGAAACTATAATTGTGAAACCATGAGTTAAGGATTTCGATTGGTTTTGCTTTCATCTGTTTATTTTCTTAAGTTTAAGTGTTTTTCATTCTTATGTATAAATGTCTTTGCTTAATATTTAGGGAATAAAAATGATAAAACAGAATTATTGATTAAGGTTTCAGCATTTTTTCCCCATGAATTTAGGTGGTCCAGTACCAAGAGACATTTATCAGAGAATTAAAAAGCTTGAAGATAAAATCCTTGAATTGGAAGGCATCTCTCCTGAATACTTTCAATCTGTGGTAAGTATTAATGTCTTTTAAAAACAAAGCGTTCTTTTAGTTTAGGATTTTCCACATGTGAAACCTTGTGAACTCAGTCCTGTGATTATCTGTTACTTTAAATATTTTGATTCCTAATATTTTTAAAATGTACGAACACTTGTCATTCTCAACTCTGGTCTGGGAATTCTGTCAAGCCATCTTCATGGCCTAATAACTCAGCCTGTAGTGGTTCACCTGTGACTCTACTTGCAGACTTGTGGGACAGCAGACCGTCCCTTTTAGAGCTTGTGCTTTGTCTTGCTGCCCGTCCCCAGACTCACTCAGCTTCTAAGTAGGTGCATTTCCCACTGTTAAACACACTCTCTTCACCTTAACACAGACTTCTTTTTCTTGGAACTGGCCTGTATCTGTGAGTTCCTCCACTAGCCTTCATTCATTCATTCCTAAAACTTTTATTGATTCTTTGTGGATTTCACATCAAGAATTCTGATCCCACTCATCTCCCCATTCCCTTGCATCCACCCTCTGCCCTTGTAACCTCCCCTCCAAAACAAAACCAAATTTAAAAGGAAAACCAAACAAAAACGAAGCAGACAAAAAGAAGAAAGAGAAGAACGCTGTAGTGGGAGCTCTAGTGTGGCCCGTTGATTGCACCGTTGTCCTTTAGTCCATGCATCTGTACTTGCAAGTGTTCATTGCTAATGGTCACTGATCAGGTTTGAGGCCTCTGACTTCTGCTCTCCCACTGATAATCGGCTCTCACTCAAGCTCCTCTTGGATATCCTGTTGTTGTCCGGTGTCATGGAGATCCCTCAGTTTGAATCTATAGGCTCTTTCTTAGCCCCTTTCTCAAGGACGTTGAGAAACTTCCTAATGAGCATCTTTCTTGGCACATCAGTGTTTTAGACAACCCTGAGCTCGCTCCGCTCCCCACTGTCATCTGAGGAGGTACTGCTCTTTTCTCATGCTTGTTTTGCTGTGTGTGTTTGTGAGTTTTGAGACAAGTTCTCTCTATGTAGCCCATAGCTTAGGCAGACCCTGAACTCCCAGCCCTCCTGTGTCAGCTTCCTTCCAAAGTCTACCAATGAACATCAGCAGTTAGTGAACTACTCATTCACTCCATGTCTAATCCATTCTGTGTGTCCCAAGGTGAACCTTAAGAGGTTCAAAAGAGAGCAAGAAACAGATGTGGCATACGCCTTTCGTCTCAGCACTCAGCTGGAGGCAGAAAGATCTCTGAGTTTGAGCCTGATCTACAGAGTGAGTTCCAGGACACGCAAAAACCAAATTTAAAAAAAGAAACATGGAAATGTAAACAATAAGTTCTCTAGTATGAACAAAGCACTGTGAGACTATGCTAATAAACCAAGTTACGTAATTTAAAGTTGATCTTTAGAAATACTCATAAAGATCGTGTCTTTTAAATATACTGGTAAGCTACCGTCTTAAAAACTATAACTTACCGTGTTAAAACATTTCCGTGTTTAAGGGTCAGATTCTTTCCATAATTTTCTGCTTTTATAATAGTTTACTTGGGAGTTTGTTTTTGAACAAATGGAAAGAGCTTTAGTTCTTTTATGAATCAAATATAATTTTCTTTGTTCTTTTTGTTAATGGTCACATTTTCATATGCTATGCTCCACTGTTACATGTGATAATCAACCTCATACAGCTTTTAGAAACTTCTCCATGTTTAGAATTCATCTATATGTGAATCTATATAAAAACTTTTCAATTAAAATCTTTTCATAGTTTAGAAGTTCAATTTCCAATAAATGATCTCTCAAGACATATATGGGCTCGATGTTTCCTAACAAGAGAAGCTAGAGGAGTGTAGCCCACATAGTCCTTTCTATTCACTTTGAGGGATAAATATGCAACATTACAATATTACTCTATAGAGAGGAAGCATACAGACTTCCCAGTTCCTGTCAGTGTGAAGATAGCCCTTGAGTTGGCTTTACCCCAGATGAGGTGGGTGGCTCACTAAATGTAGCACTGTCTCTTCATTCTTAGTTGATCTCCTGTTGCTAAAATATCATAAATCTTTCCAAATACTGTTTGCACAAGTCACTTCCCTGCTAAATGCTTTCAGTAAATCCCTGCCTGGAAAAGATACAAAAGCCTCTGCATATAGCATTCAAGTTTCTCTACAATTTGATGGCTCCTGCTCCTGCTGCTGCTGTTTTTTTTTTTTTTTCTTTTCTTTTCTTTTATTGAATCTTTGGGGGACAAGCCACTGTTGGATTGACTCTGTGACACAAAGCCAATGTCCCTGACTGACCCTTGTAGCAGCCAAGGGATTGATTACATCGTGATCTCCTTGCACACCTGAAACTCCTCAGGCTAAGGAAGGCCTTCCCTGGGGAGCAAGGCAACAGAGTGTGTTTTTTGTTTTGTTTTGTTTCTAATGTATATGAGTACTCTATTTGTGTGTCTACCTGCACTCCAGAAGAGGACATCAAATCTCATTATAGATGGCTGTGAGCCAACATGGGTGCTGGAAATGGAAAGACTCATTTGATTGTATTTGTAAGTTATTGATCTGATCCACTGTGACCTTATTCTTCCGCTGGTGGTTTTTATTTTTCTTTCATGGTAATGATCTGATTGTTCTTAGCCTAGAAGCTGTCGATGCTCCATTGGTTAAACTGTTGGGATCACTAGGGCACGTGTTTGAGTAGGGTATCTGAAGAGCTACTCCTTAAGAAGATAATAACAGTGGACAGATGTTAAGCTCCGCCTGTCCCCGTGTACCTAGCTCAGCTTGGCAAAGAGAGGAGCATACTTCTCTGAGCTAGTCCTTGTCTAATAATTCTAGCACTTAATGATTGCTCTCTAATGTAACTACTCACGTGAGGGAGGCATACTTGGGTGGTGTTTGGATCATTTTGGGTTTTTTGTTGTTTTGTTTTTGTCAGAATATTCCTTTACTAATGTACTATCAGTCATTTCTGATGTTGTCAAACTAAGAAGAAAACATAAAAAGAATTCATTAGATCATGCTGGGCAAGTGTTTCACCACTGTACCATCTCTTTAGCCCAACTGTAAGAAATATGACCTCAAACCAACTGAAACAATATGGACATTATAAAACACTGAGGCACAATCCTTGGGGTTCATCTTGTGGCCAAGTCATGGTTGAGAAAGACTTGAGTTCCTACTCGTCTTGGCCCTATCTAGTGTTAGCTTCTTCCTTTGGTAGATGGCAAGGTTGCTATAAACTTTCCATGTTTTATCCACACACAGTAGTTCTTTGTTTTTCACACACACACACAAAAAAAATTCAGAAAATTTCTCCTCAATCCCCACCAGACTGTCCATACTCATTGGCTACAGTTGCCATGTGCATGTCAATTTCTAAGCAGGAGCATTTGGATGGAGTAGGCACTCCCTTGAATCACACGAGAGGATAAAGAGTTGTTCACTTAGATAGGCAAAGTGGACAAAGATGTCTGTTTGCAAGTATGCATGTGTTATGTACATGTTCAGTGCAGTATACCAAATTCCCTTTGCCTCTATCCACTGTTGCTTCCCTTGGTCAGTTTCCTAAAGTGGGAAGGTTCTTTTCAAAGAAACCAAGGAGAAAATTTCCAAGAGCACCGCTTTCCACAATTACTCAGACTTGGGAGAAGCTGGTCATGAATGGGAAGTAGGTATTTGTCAGAGAGGAGCTTGCTGCTCCACTGTTATAGACTGCATATGTAGCAGTACTCTCCTCTGAGGAGGTCACTTGGTAGACAATGTTGGCAAGTTTGGATCTCCTCTTGTGGTTGCCAAAGGCTGTCTGTGTATTGCACAGTTTTCTATAAAAGAAGTAATGCTATTTATCCCTGGCATACGAACGGACTCTGGGAGCCCATTCCACATCAAAGAATGCTCTCTCAGCCTGGACACATGGGAGGGCCTAGGCCCTACCCTGGATGAAATGACAGACTCTGGAGATCCCCCAGGGAGGGCCTCACCCTCCCTGGGGAGCTGAGTGGGGATTGGCTGGGGGGTTGGGGAGTTTGGGGGGGAGGGAGCTGTGATTGACATGTGAAGCAAGCTTGTTTCTAATTTATTTAAAAAAAAGAAGTAATGCTGATGTTTTCTAAATATTGATTATTTTGTTATTTTTAAACTAGAACTTCTCTGGGAAAAGAAGAAAAGTTCAACCCCCTCAAGTAAGTTGTTTTGTCTTCCTTTGGACTTCTGAAATAGATTGATGAGCTTCCTATCTTAGTAATAAAAGTGTCTACTCTGGCTGCATTTAGGTCGTACCTTGGCAGACTTTTGGTTGAATTACAGATGTAATTTAAGAGCATAAAATGATTCCAACAGGCCAAGTAATATAAAAATGTTTACCTTCTTTTTAATAGATGAATATTTGGGTAAGAAAACACTTAAATGCTCTAATTACTTCAGTTTCCTCCCACTTTCCCTCTTATGGACACTACTAATTAGCATTATCTAAATCAAAAAGAGAGTGACTTCATGACTGCGGAATTGGACAAAGTACTAATAGCACGCTCAAGAGGACCTGAGTTCCATCTGATACCTAGCACGTGCATCCAAAGCAGGGCACAGAGGTGTAGGCTGTTACCTTAGCACCTTTGTTAGTCTCTGGCCTCATGAACACACACTCCTGCCCCGTCCCTACACACACACACACACACACACACACACACACACACTATAGCAGCTTCGCTGTTTCTTCAAAGTGCTTTACTAGTAGTTTGAAATAGTATGATTTTGCCAGCTTTGATGATGTAAATTAAAGTTGGGAAAAACTTTAAGAAGTTTTTTTGCTCTGCATTTAATACTATGTTGCTCCTGGATGTGGTATATAAATACCTGTAATTGTAGCATTATGCAGAATGAAAAGGGTCAAAAGTTCAAGGCCAGCCTGTACTACATAGTGAGGGCCTGTCTCAGCACCCCCTATTCCTCAGACTAGCTTGTTACATATTTATTATTAACTTTTGAATCAGTTCTTGAGACCAGCCGCTATTTCCCAGATGTAGTCGGTCCCTCAGGAGGAAAGTTCTGGGTATTTTAAGCTAATTCTTCATTGTTTGCTTTTTGCTATAGATTATGAGATTCACAGGTTTTTGTTGTTGTTGTTGTTTTTGCAAAAGCTTTTACTAGTCACTCATAAACTCCAGGAGAGCTATGTCAGTAGGAAAGGTCAGCATGGCACTGTGTTTATATGTGCACTTGTTCTATGTTGCTGGGATGAGATCCAGGGCTTCACACATGCCCTGCACTGAGCTGTATGTGTGCAGCCCAGAAGAAATAGAAGCCTTTAAGTCAGTTTATACCTTTAAATTATGACACAGTCACCACACATAGCTGTCAGTCTTAAAATTATCATAACTACTATGCTGCTTAGTAGTTAGGTATCAACAGTTCACTTAGCACTCTATCTGCATTAAGAAGCTGAAGTCCGCCGGGCGGTGGTGGCGCACGCCTTTAATTCCAGCACTCGGGAGGCAGAGGCAGGCGGATCTCTGTGAGTTCGAGGCCAGGCTGGACCGACAGCCTCCAAAACAATACAGAGAAACCCTGTCTCGAAAAACCAAAAAAAAAAAAAAAAAAAAAAAAAGAAGCTGAAGTCCTACCCAGCACTTTGTGTTCCTCTTGTTTCCAGCAGAACTATTCACTGGCTGAACTGGATGAGAAAATCAGTGCCCTCAAACGATCCCTGCTCAGAAAATCAAGAGAAACAGACTCCGTGACAACTCACCACCTTCCGTGAGGACTGCCTCATCACGTTGCTTTCCTTTAAGATGCGTGTGCATGTAACTTACATGTTTACTTATTTGCAGTGTATTTATCAACATGAACTTTACTGTGAAGTCAAGGTTTATTTTCACCTGAGTCTGACTTGCAGCAAATAATCTAGTATTCCAGTGTTTGGAAGTGATGTGAACCTTGAAAATAGCATTTTTGGAGTTGATTTCCTTCTGTTTTAAAGGAGGCATTTTCAATATTGAAAAACTTAATTTGAAAGAACTTCTTTTGATGGTCCACCAGAGATTATTATTTTGATAGTGGTATTTAAAAGGACTTTATATTTGTAATATTGAATAACCAGTTTCTTAGTTTATATTAATATTTTGTATATTGTTGGCAATTATCAAACATTTATTGACAAATGCGTGTATATGAACTTTTTTCCATGTCTTTCTTATTGTAAATAAACAGTTGATCAACTTTATCACACTGGTTGTGTGCCCTGACTTAGAACGTCACCAGCAATCAGTCCAACTCATTCCTTGCCCTGGCTGTGTTCAGTCCCGAGACTCACTCTGTTTTCTGCTCTTGCTCTGCTCTTTCTTTACTACTGATCTTTTGCTCAGTCAGGATATTCTCCTGGCTGCTCCTTCCAGCCCTCTCTGCTTGAGGAATGATAAAAGCCTCCACACTTTTGTTTCCCTGTCTTTATAACCTCAACTTATATTTTGGTTGTGAACCTAGCCTTTGACGGCTGAGCCATCTCTCCAGCTCAGCCTCAACTTCTTCCAGTTGTCTTTGATTGGCTTTAGTCCATAGTGTCATCCCAACTCTCAGGGCCTCACCTCCAAGAACCACTGCTTACTATTGCGTCAGGAACCTGCTGAAAGAGCTGGAAGTTCGTTCCGTGCTAGCATCAGCCCATGTAGATAAATTTGTCTAGAATAAGGTCCTGGCAATAAACTATTCCAGAGCTAGTAGGCTGTCACCCTTTTGTCCTTTCTTGAGTGCATTGCTCACCAAAAAGTGATACCAGCAGTTTAGGGAGGCAGATTGCTTGCTCCCTTAATCCAAGCTACCTAATGCCCATTCCTTTAGAGGTTTTGTTACTTGACAAAGTTCCTCACCCAACTGTTTGCTCCTAGTGGTGTTGTCCTTGAAAGGAAAGGGAACAATAAATAATTAGAAAAAGACTTGCTTTCAGGGGTGGCGAAACACCTCCTCCCTAGTCAATGCCAGGTTACACTTGATCTAGTGTTTCCTAAGGGGCTGGGCTTCCCGAACTTCTGGCCGCAGCCGGCTGTTTATAAGCCAGAGCCTCTTGGACCTTAAGACACTCAAGGTCTTGAGTGGGTTCATAAGAAACACCAGTGCAGGAAGCATGCCTCCCTGCTTCCTGGAAATAGATCCTGCTCCAGACTTGGGCTCTGTGGGTGTTTTGAAGTTATGACTAAGAACACATAGTCTCTAGTGTTCTTTTTCCTGTAATAGCTGGAAAAATAATTTTTTCTTTTTTTTTAGTGTGGGTCAGTGTCTACCCCAAAATAATGATGTCTGACTTGAGAGGATCACCAAGAACAAAAATTGCTACACGTGACCAGGCCTTTAGGAAATGCATGAAGGTTATTGCCGCAAAGAAAATGGGTTGAGACCCTGGCCTGTGATCTACAATGATAGTCATGCATTTGGCCTGTATAAACATTTTAGTTTACTGAGAAAAAAAATTTAGTGACATTAACTGAAGATGTTTTATGATCATAGAGACAGCATCTCAGTCCATCAGATGAGATGTTTAGGAGTTACATCTATAAAAGTTGCTATTTGGGGGCTGCAGAGATGGCTCAGTAGTTAAGAGCTCTTGCTCTCACAGAGGGTGGGGTTTGGTTCCCAGCACCCACAGAGTCATTCACAGTTAAATGTAATGGCAGTTCCAGGTTACCTGATGCCCTCTTCAGAAACCAGGCATACATGTGGTACACATACATATATTCAGATGAACACATACACATAAAACTCATACACATAAAAATAAATCTAAAATTTTGTTAAATAAAAACTGATACTTTTTAAATTTTAAGGTGGATATCCTTAAAAGGACAAGCTTTATTCCAATATAGGTTCTTTGGACTCTTGTGAAATCTATTTTGAAATCTTAATGATTTAATTTTTTCTACATCTTTTTGAAATATTTTGATTTTTTTATCCCAGGGATTAATCAACAATTATTCTCAAATATGCTAAGACTAAAAATGAAATTACTTTAAAGGATAATGTACTAGCACAATGAATGATGACTGTTGTAATATCTTCCCGTTTTCACATAGCCCAAAGGTACATCATTGTTTAAGAAAGATTGAGTCCAGATTAGACTACCTCCCTCACCCCGTACACCCAGCCCTTAGCTTTCAAGGAATACATTTACGGTGTTTTGTTTTTAAGTATAAAGATAAGTTCTAAAAGAAAACAGACTTTCCAAGACTGTGAAAGAAATCAAAAGGTTAACTCAAAGGGGCTCTAAAGATGGTCTCTCTCCAGACTCAGTTTCTTGAAATGGATTTGTTCCACCTTTACTGTGGCAGGTGACTGGCAGGTAGTTATAGCCAATCATCATTGCTCACGTAAAGTACAAATACTTTCACGTAAAGTACAAATACTTTCAAAACCAAGAAAATAAGAAAAATTACGTTTATTATGTCTTGAACTTTTAGCGAAGTTTCTAATAAAGATTTTAAAATTCTTAATACGTCTATAAGTTTTTCAGAAAATGACTTTAAATACATCTACTTTTTTAAACGTTAAGAGTCACTAGAACTAGATGGCAAATGATGTTTATTTTTTCCTGGTATGTTGACAGTTAAATAATAAATCTGAGAATTTCTGTAAAATTCATGTTTAACATTAAATTTTTAAGTATTTTCAAATAAGTAAATAACTTTTGAAGATTTAAGAAAAACGATTCCAAGAGATTTAAATATGTATGAAATTGCACCCCTGAACACCATTCCTCCAGGAGGCTTTAGTTGGGAGGAATGAATTTAAAAAAGGGGGGGTGATTCTCAAATTTCAAAATGTATACCTGTGCATGTTTCTACTCCTTAAAGTAAGCATGCAAAGTGTCTGACAAACTACTTTCTGTGTGTAAAAAGGTAGATTTATTCAGCCCTAAAGAAAAAGAGCAGTCAGATGATGAAGAACATAATTGCATATTTCTTTCTTTTTTTTTTTTTTTTGTTTTTTGTTTTTCGAGACAGGGTTTCTCTATTGTTTTGGAGGCTCTCCTGGAACTTGCTCTGTAGACCAGGCTGGCCTCCAACTCACAGAGATCCGGTCTGCCTCTGCCTCCCGAGTGCTGGGATTAAAGGTGTGCGCCACCAACGCCCGGCTCATAATTGCATATTTCTAAGTGAAAGAAGTGACTCTAGAGACTTCACACAATACAGTTCCCACTGTGTGACATTCTGAACATAGGCAAAAGCATGGAGGAGGCAAAAGGTTAGCAGACCGCATGTGGGGGAGCTGAGGAATCTGGGGCAAGTGGGGGCGGGGAGGTTAGGGCATTGGGAAGACTAAGATGCTAAAGTGACTGGCATCAGTATACTTTTATCTGAACCCAGAGAATTTACAAGAGTGAGCCCTACTGTGAGCTAGCTGTGCCTTCTTGGTGACAGTGACATGTTCATCTCAGTATCAGCTGCATCCCGTGGGCCACCTGGAGGAGCAGGTTAACAGCGGAGGAGGCCATGCAGATTCCTGTCTCAGATTCTGTAAATCTAAAACAACCTTACAAAAAACAAAGTCTCAAATAGAAATAGGGACACTTTCAAAAATAACCCATCCATCCTTCTAGGTAGGACAAAAGCTTCAAATGTTCTTAAACTTACAGCTTTTGGTAAGCAGGTCTCGGGGGCTAAATGGCCTTTCCAGGATGGCCTGTGTGCCACCACCAGTCACTAAGAAATAGTTTTTCCAAGCTACCTGAAATTGGGAACTTCAATAGTGATAAAATTTTGCTCTGCAAAGCAAAGGAAAATGAATTAAATTTTGCCATTCTAGATTTGTGAAATGAGTCCACTAAAATGTGACCTATTTTAAATATCAGGAAAGCACAGAAAGGATTATATCAGACAACACACCTTTTTTTTTTTAAAGATTTTATTTATTATGAATACAACACCCTGCCTCCATGTACATCTACACATCAGAAGAGGGGACCAGATATCTTTATGGATGGTTGTAAGCCACCATGTGGTTGCTGGGAATTGAACTCAGGACCTCTGGAAGAGCAAGCAGTCAGTGCTCTTAACCTCTGAGCCATCTCGTCAGCCCTCAGACAACACATCTTAAACCACCCAAATTTAATAGATACTACTGTCTGCCGCTTTTGCATTGGGCTAGCCAAGGCTACATGAGACTTCATCTTAAATAAAATAAAATACCAAAGAACTAGGTCAAATATAAACAGATTCCTCCTATCCATCTTTACCCCATTTCTCCTTGCACCCCCCCCCATTGGACCCAGGGCCTCATACAAGCCATGTAAGCATGTTATATGACACCTTATGCTCTATTTCTGGTTTGTATGTGTGTAGAGTCTAGAGTGGGTAGCTTTTCAAGCACTTAGCTTCCAGTCTTGGGGAACAAGCCACCCCAGAGATTCATTAGAATGCAATTCATTAAAACAGCTGTGGGTTAACAAGTTATTTGTTACAGATGAGAGGGGACCCACAAGTGGCAGACAGAAAAGTAGAGTCAGGCCTAAAATGTGTATCCGTGTTAACTGACAGCTCCGTTTCCTGCATCGCCTTCCCTGATTCGAGCCTGTAGGCCTCAAGAGCTTGGGAATTATACTTTGAAAGTAGCCGTGCTGCTAACGAAAAACTGCAGGCTTCACACGGCAGAAAATAGAATAGCAGCTATTCCCCACTGATTTTTTTTCCGTCTTCTCAGAGCCCTAATCCTACTTTCGGTAGAACGATGAGCAGTAGAGGAACTATCATGGCAACTAATAAGTCTGCAGAAAAAAAGAAAAAAAAATCATGCTTGAAAAGTCCTAGTCTCTAACCATTGTTTACTTTCACAAAGGAAGGTCGGGAAAGGAGGGACTAAGAGTTAGGCGTGAGTGCGCGGCGCACAGACGTGCAGGCGAAGCACTCGTGCACATAAATAAATGTTTAAGAAAAGCTGTTCTCAATATGGCCTCGTTCTCAGAATGCCTTTCCTTGCTGCTGTGAGAGGATGCGGTGCCCGCGTGACGGGTGCGCGAGGTGACAGACAAGAATGGCGACACGGGTTAGGCTCTTAGGTGCCCCTGGAACGCCAGCACAGCAGCCATAGGTCTGAAACGCCAGGGGCCTCTCCAGGGATGTCTGGAGGGTGTGTGCACGGTGTGGGAACGCTGAGCAAAGGCGCTGCACACTCGGGTCTAGCAGGATTTCATCATGCTCCTCCGAACTTGCCAATTACTCACTTCTGGAATTTTCTGTG